TGACGTAACAATTGTAAACTTATGGGCGTGACCATAACTGAGTCTGTCCCAAATCCTTTTTAACTGTTCAGTCTTTCAAGTAGATTAGACCTTCTAAAGGAAAGTGCACAGTGAGTTAAAGTTTCTCCAGCTCTTGAGCAGGAATTTTAGATGGCAATTTTGAGTTTAGTGGACTATAAGATTGTTGCTATTGTTATTGCAATCGCCAGACAGACTCTTTTTCCTTTGAAGTTGATTGCTAGCAGGGTCTTGTTAGGCAAGCTATACTACATCTGTGTAATTCCAGTTAAAATTTAGGTGATATGTGACATTATATCAGCAAAATATGGAATTATAAATCTGGATGAAAAGAATTTTTAACAAAAAAACAAAACAAAACAAAGAAACCCACCAAAACCAAACAAACAGATGGGGGAGATAAAAACCTCTTTTGCTGTAACATATTAGGACTGCTTCCAGTATTCTGTATTTTTGATTCTATGAATACTTCACTCCATATAGCTAGATTAACCTACTGAATCTAACCACCTTTCATCCTTCTGGAGTGATTCTTATTGATAATTTCACAGAACTTTTTGTTTATGAGAAAGACAACTTTTAGCAAATTTTAGGTGCTTGAAGTACATCTTAATATCTTGTTCTTTGTAAAATTATCATGCCCACTATTGCAAAAGGTGTACCTTTTTTGGGGTACCTTATTTACTGTCAGCAAGTCAGATTCCTTGAATGAGCCAGATGCCATCAGGGTATAAAAACATCTCATTTGTTTTCATAAATTACACTATTTTGTGGGCAACCACAAATAAAGACTCGTTACCAAGAGATACATTTTACGTGCCAAGACTGGCACACCATCAAATACAGAGAGATAGGGAAGGAGAAGAAATCGTTCTGATACCTACCCAAGAAATGACTGCACAGGACCTGAGTGAAAAGGAGGGTTAGAACATGCCAAGTAGGGCCAGGGAAGTCAAAGAAACATGAATCCTGCAGTGGCTGGGTCACATTTAAATGTCGAGAATACAGAGAGTTTTATTAACAAAATAAGCTTGCTTATACTGACATACTTCAAAAAATCATAGTGTTATAAAGCAGCCTAGGATGAGAGGTTCCGAAACAAAACAGCCCACAATGAAAATTAGATGAGCATCATGATATCTCTAAATGGCTGCTACTTCTCAGCAGAAAGAATGATACACACCCGGCCGGTGAAATTCCAAGCTCTAATTAGCTCATAACAGTTTATTTACAGTAACTGCAAGTACAACCAGTAAACTGCTTTCCACACAGCAGGTGCCCCCATGCAAAAGAGGATAATATGATTTCACTACAGTAACTTGGATCTTTGTTCAGCACTTTCTAAGATATCTCACAAATGCAACTTCTTTCTGTTCCTAGTCAAATAGAAGATATATATTTACTACAACAAAATGATGTTTTGCAGATTAAAAAGGCAGTCCCTCATCTTTTGGTACTTTACACAGTTGGAACCTAGTCCGATCTCTCTTGGGCTCTTATAGACCCAACAGATTGCTTACCCAACAGATACTCAGACTCTAATAAATAAAATTCAGGATTCTGAGAGCTACTTTTTGTTTCTTTGTTGGTAATACTGCACACACTTATTTCTGAAGCTCCAAAATTCAACGGGTTTTTCAACTGCTGGTCAGATCATTAAACATTTTGTGTAACACTTTCCAAGTTTACTAGAGCTATTGCTGCAATACATTACTAATATGACTAAAAATATACCAAAAATGGAACTACCACAAAAATATCACCAGTGTTTCTCAAGAGAAAAAAAATGTTTCCTACTATATTTTCTTTCTTTATCAATCTTTTCTATTCCTGCCTCATATTTATCTTCTAACCCATTCACTTTCCCAACCTATTTAATTAATGAGTTCTCTTCTGTTCACATTGCTTGCTCTCTCAGACTCATTACCATCAAAACTCTCTGCAGTTTTTGAGATGGTATTTTTCTTCTTTCATTTCTTGACTTTACTCTGATTTAAATGTAATGTATTGTCTAAAACTCCTACCCACATTTTCTCTAAAGCTCTGGATCCTCACTAATTCTGTTTTTTCTTTTAATTCCACTAAAATTTTTCTAACATTTTCTCACAATCTTTGTTTTACCAGCTTTGTTTTACTTTTGACTCCACTTGAACAGACTCTCAACAAATTAATTCCTTTGATTTTTTTGCTCTCTAGATTATTTTTTATCTGTCTTTATCCCTCTACTCAGGGCTGCTCTCAACCCTCTCTGCCCAGCCTGTATTTGTGTTTCGGATTGCCCCAACCCACCTGCAGGACCTTGCATTTGACCTTTTTGGATTTCATGAGGTTCACAAAGACCCACCTATCAAGCCTGTCAAGGTCCCTCTGGATGACAGCCCTTCTCTATAGCATGTCAACTGCACCATACAGCTTAATGTCATTGGCAAACTTGCTGAGGGTGCACTCAGTTCCCCTGTCCACATCACTGACAAAGATGTTTCCAGGAGGATCCGCTCCATGATCTTGCCAGGCACAGAGATAACACTGACTAGCCTATATTTCCCCAGGTCTTCTTTTTTCCCTTTATAAAAATGGAGGTCCTGTTTCTCCTTTTTCTGTCAGGAGGAACTTTACTGGACTGCCACAATTTCTCAAATATGATGAATAGTGGCTTAGCCACTACATCTGCCAGTTCCCTGAAGACCCGCAGATGCATCTCAGCAGATCCCATGGACTTGTGTACTTTCAAGTGCCTTAGATGGCCTTGAATCTAACCTTCTTCTACAGCACGAGGTTCCCATTCTCCCAGTCTCTGCTTTTGACTTCTGCATCTAGAGCAATGTGGTTGGAGCACTTGCCAATGTTGACTAAGTCAAAATAGTCGTTGAGTACCTCAGCCCTCTCCATGTCCCAAGTACTCAGGTCTCCCATTTCCTTCTGGAGAGGGACTAAATTTTCCCCAGTCTTTCTTTTATCACAAATGTACCTATAGAAGCTTTTCTTTGTGCCCCCCCATGTCCCTAACCACATTTAATGCTCAGACAATTTCTATGTACACCTCAGGGGCTACCTGTTCTTGCTTCCACCCTCTGGGGTTTTTTTTGTTAATTTTTTTTCCTTCATCTTCTGTTTTTCACTAGACTCGAACAGCCTTTTACCTTACCTGCTTCCCTTTCTCCTTTTTAGATGATAATATACATTCCATTTCCCCTTTTTAAATGATAATATACTGCAGTTCCCATCTATGGACAGAGGGCTCAAACAAACTCCTTTCATCTAACCCCACTCTTCTTAGTGTCCACTAACATAAACTAAGCACAAACAAAATGGAATTCTTGCTCTTTTCTCCCCAGATTTCTTTTCTTCATGCTTTTTCAGTATGACTGTTCTCCCTCTGGTAATCTGCATCAGTGACATCTACAGCTTTTACTAGCTCTTTGAGAGAAATCTTAGCATCACTAAGATTTGACATTTTTCTACGGGTCATATAGTGGAAGCTCTTAGATGATTTTGGTTGTTTCCAATGGCATTCTTCTTCAGTCAACACTTGCCTCTCTGCACACAGATGTATAAGGAAAGGCAGAAAATTAATGATTTCTCTATACCCTTGTACACTTGCATGTAGCTTCATCATTTTTACACTACCTCCAACCAGGTCAAATTTTTGATGGCATAACTGACTCTTCTCAATTATCTACACTTTTTATATTGTCAGTTGACTAATCCCATGCTTATAAAACCAATGTTGGCACTACATCTGCTTTTCAGTGATGTCTCCCTTCCATGTTGACTCATACAGAGACATGCCCCTTTTGACTTGTCCTGATAGTCTATTCACACCTCTTCCTTCATTAAGTCCCACTTTTATCTCAATACCTAAAGCAAAACAGCCAATAAATCAAATGGATAGAGGACCACTTCTATGTTATAACTTTTGATAAAGGCAGGCAAGCATTCTCCTCGCTAACTCATCATTTCTTGGCCCCTTTAGATTAATAGTATTTACACTCAGGAACTACTAGTGTTTCTGAACAATGCCTTCATACTATAGTACCATAACTGAACCAGAGAATTACAGCTTCTGTTATTTTTTTAAAGGAACTTTAACAAAAAGGAAGTCAAAAGTATTATTTCACAATTAGTGAGATAACTATTAGGAAGGATGTAAGTGTCAAGCATTTTTTCCTTTGCTCTGCTTGGTATAAACCTAAAAAATTATGTCACTTGTTCTCAAATCTCATCAAGGCTCTTCACTATATGAACTACATAGGATTATCATTGCTGTCAATGTAGCTGCAGTATACAGACTTCAGCAGTATGATAGTAGCACAAAACACACTGAGCCAATTCATCCATTACAGTCCACGGTGTTAGAGTAGGGATTATTTTGTTCCTCCTGCTTTGTAATATAGTTTTATGCTATAGAAAACCAATCTAATTCATGCCACTTAATGGATGGTTTAAACAGAGTGCTATTTTGCCTCTTAGGAATCATTTCCCTGAGATAAAAGCAAATTATTGCATTTTACTTATATTCAAATAACATAGGATTGTATATTAGTCCCATACCCATGGCATTCTACGTGAAATACACATCTACTGCTGGGATGTTAATTAAAACCAGTCTTAGTTACACAGGAAATACTTTTTCTAAAATATATTTTCAATCAGTAAAATTTTACCTGGGCACAGTTCTGTTAGGTCCTGAGCAACATAGCACCAAGAGAAGATTGTTTTTATTGCTTGATGGGATCAGACATGATGAGATTAAATATCCAGCAAATAGATTATGTATATTGTGAGTTTATATTACTAATCAATTTTGTCCATAGAATACAATGCTTTGTGAAAAACTGAAGATTCACTTGTTGGCAGTAAAGACTAGGAATGGCATCTTCAGTCAGAAGAAAATGCTTGGAAATTGATGTGTTTGTCTTGTGCTGAAAAAGTGCCTCTCACGAAGAATGAAACCCTGCACTTTTAAAGCAAGCATTACTCACCGAGTCTTTTTCTAATCGCTTCTGTAGCCTTGTTTGCCACTGGACAGCTTGCATGACAATAGCTTCCCACCTTCTCTCAAGGTTTACAATTATCAACTGCATGGACTGGTGATCTGCATTTAGGTTGCAGGTCTCCTGATCATCCAGGAGGTGCTGGCATAATCGCAGCACAGAGGCTACCCCACGACGTCTCTGTTTGATCTCACAGCATAAAGACTGCAGGATAGACAAACAACAGATGTCAGTGTGGAATTCTTTGCAAATTGAAACATTAAGTATTATCTGATATTTAATGGTCCCCAATCTCTGTCTTACAATACTTTTTTCAGCTCTTCCATAAATTCCCATACTTTAGTGTCAAAGCTTAGTGTTTTATTTTCAGATAAATACAGTCTTAATAGCACAGAAGGCGTAACGTTATGTTCAGTCTTCTTCAAACAAATGCCATATATAACTAACTGTCTCAATAATGCTGAAGGTTTAATGATGTAAACTGGTTTATTCTTAATTTCTTTTTCATTCAATTGGGACACATCTGAAATGAGTTACCTTGACAGTAATCAACTTCAGAAATTCTACAGAGTGAAAAAATCATAGTCATGCAATGTGAATATGTGTATTTTTAGAAAAAAAAACAATAGAAATTATGGGTCCTATACAGCCTGTCACAGGAGAAACATTAAGAAAGCAGAAAATTCAGTATAGAATTTTTTACAGATGTTTTTTGTTATCATAACATATTTCCAGAGTAGTTTCGTATTTGAGTAAATATAGGAATACTGTGATAACTGTATCATCCTTGAAGATGAGTAATTCACTGTATTTATTTCATCATACTGATTCCAGTGCTACTGAGAATGCAGTTTGGCATAAGCTGGTTGATAGGAGACAATCACTAAGTCCTAATATTGAAACGATGAGCCAGGATCTGTTGGTTCTACTCCAGAAACCCAAGAAACCTCACTGAGAATCTTATTGAACAGTAGTAAAAATTATGCATCCTACACGGCAGACAGAACTAGAGAGAGATGTACTACCCAAAAGCAGTTAATAGCATGGGGTACTTTCAAGCATGGTTTTATCCATGACTATACTCTAATGTCATTCAACATCAAATCACAATTTTATTCTCTCATAATGTATTTTAATAACAAAATCTATGAAGCTGGGGTATAGAAGGCACAAATGCATCCAAGGATTATGGTTTCAGCCCAGTTTCTGAGACCCTATACTTTTATAGCATTGCATGACTCCAGTATTCAACTATTATCAAAGGGTTGTGCTACTCCTGAATTTAACAGGACTGTGCTCTACACGTGGGAGCTTTCCAGATAATTTAAATTGTAACTTGCCAACATCTGTTTCCCTCTGTGGGATGCCACAGATGAAAGTGCATGACCCCATGAGAAAATCTGAACTATCATCTTTTCTGAAGGCAGGGTGTTTGCCTTTAAACTTCCAGTTAATGATAATAAGCAAACGAAAAAAGCCACTACATCTCTCAAAGCTGTTCACAAGCATTAACTGATAAAAAATCAGGCTCTACCTTCCTGAATTTTATTAGCAAAATAACATTCTATAGAAAGCGAATTCTAGTTCCAGATTTTCGTGCCACTGTTTCTTTAGAAAATGGAATTTATACTTAGAAATGTTGTAACTCAAAGGAGTATTTTGCTGCTGTGTTTGATCAATAATATTAAGCTGCAAGTCTGAAGTAAAACAGTGGTATGCACATCTAAAAACATATGCCTTTTCTTTGCCTACGGATAGTGTGCAAAAGACTTTTTTTTTTAAAGCCTTCAAGAGAAATGATGATTATGCCCACAAACATAGCTGAATTACTAGTCTATTTTCACTGGCACAACTGGGCCATCCTAACAGTTAACAGATTGCTTATTAATCAACAAGGGTAAACAAGGCAATGAAATCTCATTTAAAGCGGAAGTTTTAATTCCTAACAGTATTTCTGTTCAAAGCATTATTCCCGATAAGCCTTCATTAGAAGACATCTTAAAATGATTAAGTACATTTGATTGTAAAGTAAACTGAGTAGTATATTAGCAGGTGGACATTTCATACAGATGTTCCACTTACAGATATAATGCATTCTGTAGCTATTTAAATTACCCTAACTCTATAATAGCTAGAAGTCTATTACTTCTATAATAAGAGAACCCTGTATCTTTAATATTTCTGAATTTTAAGTAATGTGAATGACGAATTCCCAAACCTCTATTTATGACAAAATATGACCAGGAATTTTATTATTCAATTTATACCAGAGCTGCATTTTCACTAACGTTTCCTGAACTTGCCCTTATTTATTTTCCTAGAGTTCATTGCTAGTTTCCTTCATAGTTCTTGATGTAACCACCATGTCTGGCACATTTCCTTTTTAATGCTGTTCATTAGCCTAATGTCACATGAGAAGAAATCCAAACAAAACCAAACCAAAAAATCTACCTAAAGTCAGGGTTCTTACTTTACATTTTATAACAGCTAGGCAATTCAGTTTTTTGGAAGTGATGGTATGTTATTTAGGTCTGCATTAACTTCATAGAAGTCAATACAGCTCAGAATCTGGCCCTAAAACATTAACTTGCCTTGATCTATCTGATTAAGTCATCCCTTACAAATATTGTTCATTTTTGATACAATGCCATTTAATATGATGAGGTAAGGAGAATTGCACTCATAATTGCACTTATACGGGAGTTTAAGTGAGGCCTTTACATAGTGTTATCTGAAAGCAGAGCTACAGTATCCAAGTAATTTCTAATTTATATCAATTTTACACCACTGTAATAACAGTAGCTTTACTGAAGCTATTTCTGATTTACATGGCTGTGACAGTACAATTAGGCCTATGGCACTTTTGTTTCAATTTTATTACATGATATTATGGTTAATATTAAACAGGAGAAGAACGAAGTGCTTGTATCTAACAGTGTGGTGAAAGAGTTGGTTATAGCAACAATACTTTAAAAGCTAGAGAACTTAATCATGTAAAGATATCTTTAAGCCCTATATAATAGCACCAGCAATAATGAATTTAAGCAGTATTAGGGTCTTGTGTTCAGTGTCCTAAAGCAACACAATAATTGCCTATATCCTATGACATGATATATCACAGTATATCATGGTATATCCATCCATGTTTTGCTGTTGTTAAAATGGCATGCTTGTATATAAACCTGTCAATATGGCAATTGCACATGCAAAGTATGCTTCCAGGACTTCCAGTTACTTTCATTATTTGCAAGGTACATTCTACATTGTCCACAGCTGCTGCTATAGTAAGCTACTGGGCACTTGAAGGTTCAGAAAATCTGGTAATGATCTAACAGTAAACTTAGGAGCACCTCTTAGGCTCACTCGGTTTCCTGTGTGCGCAAAAGATTTGCTGAAAAATAGATTAAGAGATCAGACACTTTCAGTTGTGTTTCCTCATACTATCATGTGTCCACTGAGTTGTGGTAAATGTAAACACAATCCAAGTCTTTGCAAATGTGAGAGAAACATTCACTTAAACCATTTGCAGTGAGACTTAAATAAATGTATTTGGCTTTTTTGCTGCAGGCTAAGAGTATACACAGTAACTACAGATGCTGTGTATGAACTTGACTTTGTGTCTGAGTCATTTGCTTCACAACAGACACTCTGATAACATTGAGGTGTTAGTCATTATAATGTTATTATGTCATGGTTTCCCATACAGAGGATTCCTGTCCATGCTGCTAGAATCTTGGAAGATTTTTCTTCCCTCTGCTTACTCCTATTTTCAGTGCTTTGAAGTTATCATCCACATAGCTAGAAAGGGCTAGCTGAAACTACTTTCGCAGCTTGTTAATACCATGCCTTAAATCATCTGGAAAAGCCCCTGCTGGGTCAAATGACATCAAATACGCTTTCAAAGCCATAGGCTAATGGCACTATCTATGGGAATGGAAGTGGCCATGATCTGAACAGAAAGTGCTTGGCATAGCTGCGTGACTCCTAAATGAATGGCATATGACAGAAACATGTCTGCAGCTTTAGGCAGTGCCAGAGCATACGAGAGGCAAAGGAAGGTGGGAAGTTGAGGAATATTAGATCGCCTCAAGCTCCGATCTGCCTCCATCCCTCAGCCTTCCTGCATCATATCAGTGCCTGACTTGTGCTGCACTGCCTGCTCTGCACAGCTGAAGATTTATGGTAAGTCTGCTTTCTCACACAACATGGAAGAGGAGTTGGCCACTGAAGCATCAAGGATCTTGAGTAGGTGTTTAACATTAACTATTTAAATGTACTAAGATTCTCACTATATTCCGTGAGACTATTTGTGCTTAAATATAGCTTAAAAGTCAATCTAAAATTAGTTCCCTTAAATCCACATGATCCACATCTTCACCACATAACATGTTGAGATGTGGGGTTTTGCAGCCTTATTTATTACATGTTGTTTGGAGAACTCATTTTTATAGGATCTGAAGTTTCTTGCTTTCACTCTACAATTCGGAATAATAAACAGAATCACAGAATCACAGAATATGCTAAGTTGGAAGGGACCCACAAGGATCATTGAGTCCAACTCTTGGCCCCTCACTGTACCGTCCCCAAGAGTCACACTATGTGCCTGACAGTATCATCCAAATGCTTCTTGAACTCTGTCAGGTTTGGTGCTGTGACCACTTTCCTGGGGAGCCCATTCCAGTGCCCAGCCACCCTCTGGGTGAAGAGCCTTTTTCTAATATCCAACCTAGCCTGGAGAAGAGGAGGCTCAGAGGTGACCTCATCACCGTCTATAACTACCTGAAGGGAAGTTCTAGCCAGGTGGGGGTTGGTCTCTTCTCTCAGGCACTCAGCAATAGGACAAGGGGGCACGGGCTTAAGCTCCGCCAGGAGAAATTTAAGTTGGATATCAGGAGAAAATTCTTTACAGAGAGAGTAATCAGGCATTGGAATGGGCTACCCAGAGAGGTGGTGGATTCACCATCCCTGGAGATTTTTAAACGCAGATTGGACGTGGCACTGAGTGCCGTGATCTAGTAAATGGACTGGATTTGGACCAAGGGTTGGACTCGATGATCTTGGAGGTCTTTTCCAACCCAATCAATTCTATGATTCTATGATTCTATGATTCTAAACCTCCCCTGACACAACTTCAGGTCATTCTCTCGGGTTCTGTCACCAGAGGTCACCAGAGAGGAGATCAGTGCCTGCCCCTCCTCTTCCTC